CGTCAAAAAATACTACAGACATCCAAATACTGCTCAAGACAAAGAGAAGATGATAAACGCCGTTATCTAAGTCATGGGAGATTATACAAGACCAAATGAAGCAAAAAGGATCTGTGAATTAACACAAAACAATGAGAATTCACAGAACAATGCAAACTTGCCACATGTGGGCGCGACAGTGCGGGTCGCCGCGCATAGCCGTGACAGTGATTGTTGTCGCGCAATTGCTGCGGCAATGATTGCTGCCGCGCATAGCCGCGACAATTGTTGGTGACGCGCAAGCTACAGGGAGCTGCCGCAGCGGTTACAAAACAATTATACGATATTTTTTTTAAAGTCCACGTGGTACCATAATAAAAAAAACGTGTGCTGATGTGGACAAGCAGTTAAACCACGAAAAAAGTGGTTAAAAGTCGTGGGAGGACGGTTTCAAACATGATGGAACGTGGCTGGAACTGCCTCTTTGGCCGCGCCAGTCCATACTGACGCGCTAATAGCTGTGGCAGCGTAGACTGACGCGCCCAAAGAAGGTGTGGTTGGTCAGTTATTTTGCCCCCATTTCAACTGTTGTGCATCCATATCCCTATAAATACCTTCCTAGACACGAAGCAAAGGACAGAGGGCAGATTGGAGCAAAGAAGCTTAAGCCTTTTGGTGAACTGGAGTAAGAGAGAAAGTCTGCATTCCTTATAATTGGTTCTAAAGCTCTTAGTGATTCCTAGAGATCTAAGCTCTGACTTGATATTTGGAAGAGTGAACATCTTACATCGATAAGATATTCGCTTTAAATTCTTACTTCGATAAACGAAGAAAGAATCCCTAAACCCCTTCACAATCTGTGATTTGGTGGTCCACAAGCCAAAGCACTCCCGGAACAGGCAAAGTCCCACAAAACAGGAATCAATAAACAATTTCTGTGTTATTTTCTAGAGGGTTATAATTTTCCTTTTATTGTGTAAAAGAGGTCTTATATAAAAGACTATTTTCTTTTGAATTCATTGTAATCGATCGAAGATATAATGAATTCCATAATAGCATCAACTTTCGACGAAAATAATAACTTCATATATAATATTGCAATGCATTTCATTTTCTCTTTTACCAAACAAACAGCAACATAAAATCAGCTGTTATTTATGTTTGTTGATGGATAATCGTCCTTAAAATGAACATTATTTTTCTCTACAACATACTTAAATGGAAAAATTGCTTCAAGGCCCCCAAACCCAAAAAGCAATGTGCTCTAGCCCCTCATATTATTTGTAATGTGTTGCAGCCCCCAAAATTCGAAAAAATTATGCCCCGGCCCCTCCAGCTCATAATTAGCCCACTTTTATATGTTTTTTTTACCTAAAAACTCAACTTTATCCCTCCTCACTTATTCTTCAATCCTCTTCCCTCTAACCCCCAGTCCCCTCAAGCCCCCAAACGCCAGAAAAAATTACGGTGCTCGCCAGCAGCGCGCTCACCGTCAAGTTCCTCCTTGGCGGCGGCGACAGGTCGCGAGTGTTCGTACCGAGCCAGCTAAGCATCGCCCCGGGCAAAGAGATCGTGTTCAAGAACAACGTCGGGTTCCCCCACAACGTGGTGTTCGACGAGGACAAGATCCCTTTGGGGGTCGACGCGGGGGCGATCTCGATGAGCGAGGAGGACCTGTTGAATGGCCTCGGCGAGACCTACAAGGTGACACTGAAGGAGAAAGGGTCCAACAGCTTCTACTGCTCCCCTCACCAGGGAGCTGGAATTCTGGAAAAAATTACCGTTAATTAGATCATTTTTTTTCAAATTTCAAGAGTTTTGGGAATGGATGAGACCCTTCTATCATTTGTGCTGATTTGATGAACTCCTATTGTTTATTGGAATTAGGGAAGGTTTTTGGTTGAGTAAAATATGTAATTATCAAATTAATATTGTGTTTCGCTGTTCGTTATACGTTTTTGTGCCAAGTGTTTGGGGATGTAGCAATTCAGTTACTTGAAGTCGACTTTTGTTATCATCAAGTGTTTGGTTGAGTAAAATTCATGTTAAATATTAATCATTATCTGTTATGTCATCGAAACATGTTAACTTTCTTTGTTTGCTTGTTAAGTTACACTGATAACATGTTAACTTTCGCAGTTCGCTTGTTAAGTTACACTGATAACATGTTTACTTTCGCAGTTCGCTTGTTAAGTTACACTGATAACATGTTAACTTTGAATGGTTGCTTGTTACTTTTATATGTATGAGCGCATGATAAAAGAGACAAATCCAGGCAGCTATATTCATGTTGAACAAAATGCATCGGTTCTATATGACGCTCATGTGTGAACGTTCTCATTTAACATGTTAATTATAATACATGTTAACCTTAATTGGTAAATTGATAACTATATTTAGTAAACTGTTAACTATAATCCATTATATGTTAACTAACACCCTTATCCTGTTAACTATTAATCATTATCTGTTAACTGTTATTCCGGATAATATACACGTTAATATAGTTCTCATTTAACATGGTAACTATAATACGTAGCATGTTAACGTAATTCGTTAACACGTTAAATAAGAATTATAATACGTAAATTGGTAACTATAATACGTAAATGAACTATATTAACGTGTTATAGTTAACATGTTAACACGTTAAATGAGAACTATATTAACGTGTTATAGTTAACATGTTAATATATTTATAGTTAACACGTTGAATGAGAACTATATTAACATGTTAACGTAATCCGTTTACACGTTAAATGAGAACTATGTTAACCTTAATTGCTAAATTGATAACTATATTAACGTGTTAATCCGTTTACACGTTAAATGAGAACTATGTTAACCTTAATTGCTAAATTGATAACTATATTAACGTGTTAACGGATTATATTAACTATAATAAACTATGTTAACCTTAATTGCTAAATTGATAACTATATTAACGTGTTAACGGATTATATTAACTATAATATGTTAATATAGTTCTCATTTAACATGCTACGTATTATAGTTATCAATTTACGTATTATAGTTCTCACTTAACGTGTTAACAGATTATGTTAACATGCTACGTATTATAGTTAACATGTTAAATGAGAACTATATTAACGTGTATGATTATGTTAACATGCTACGTATTATAGTTAACATGTTAAATGAGAACTATATTAACGTGTATATGACCCGAAATAACAGTTAACTACGTATTATAGTTAACATGTTAAATGAGAACTATATTAACGTGTATATGACCCGAAATAACAGTTAACGAATAATGGATTACAAATAACAGCTAACGGTAAATGACAATTAACAGATAGTAAATTACAAATAACAACTAACAGATTACAAATAACAGTTAACAGATAATAGATTATAGTTAACAGTTTACAAATAATAGCTAATAGATAATTCATTATAGTTAACAATTTATAAATAATAGTTAACAAATAATAATTAATAGTTAACAGTATAAAGGTGTTAGTTAACAGGTTACAAATAAATTGCAAAAAGGAACATGTTATCCTGATCTCGTCTTTTGGTACACTACGTTCTCATAATTTAAAATTAACTATTTCTCAATTATATTTAATATAAAACATGTAAACATTAGCAGTCAATCAACTATAATAATTTGAGCTATTTTTTTGATGAATTCAAGCTTTAATAGTATAACATATCTCCAAGAAGCATCATTCTTGTGTGGCATTTCATCAAACACCTTTATTGCATCCATTCAGTGTCCTAGCGACATACATTCCCTTATAAATCGAGGCCCAATGCCAGCTGAAGAACTTGAGTATCCGAGATATGTCAGGCCTTCCGCCCGATGACGTTTCGATAGTGGTTGATGTACTCAGACTCGAGCTCATAGAAGCTATTGAGCATCAAGCCGTAACTCTTATGCTCGGGGTCTTTAATCGAGGCAAACATACTGGACTTTTTAGGATCAGTATCAACTGACGAGCCGATTTGGGACTTGAACAGGTTGATTTTGTGAGGGAGACTGGTAAGGACGAAGTCCTCTGCCTTCGACGGGAGTGTTTGGAGGGGCTTGAGCTTTCCAAGAACGTCAAAGGTGCAGTTGGCGAAGGCACTCGTCCCTTGGAAGGAGAGCCTGAGAATTCCACGCTCGGCGGCAACATCGACAGTCCATGGGAGGAACACGTCGGTGACGACGCAGTCGGGGGAGAGGTCGACAAGGACGCGACGAGGTTTTGGCACTTAGTGGGGAGGTCGGGGACTGAGAGGAAGGGGACGGTGAGGAGGTTGACGCCGGAGACGGTGGCTGCGAAGGAGGAGCATCGCCTGGGGTCATAAGGATGGTGGCTTCGACACCACGAGCGGTGAAGACAGCGACCATGTCGAGCACGGGGAGCATGTGGCCGGGGGCCATGAAGGGGAAGAAGAGGATCTTGAGAGAGGTGATTTTGGGGAGGGGTATAGTTAGGTTTTTGGGTAAAATACATAGAAAATTGGGTCAAAGATGAGCTAGAGGGGCTGTGACACATTTTTTTTCAAAATTTGGGGGTTGCAGCATATACCAAAAAGTATGAGGGGTTGTGGCACACTGACTTTTGAAATTTGGGGCCTTGAAACAAATTTTCCTACTTAAATTAATATTGTTAAAAAAGATAACGAAAAAGTTATATATTATAACTGTGGCAATAATTTTTAAAAATGAATACATATGCAACGTTGTTGCATTATATTAACTGAGCATGCAACCACGATATGGTTTTTAAAAAAATTATTAACATACGCTTTTTCAGTCTTACATCCTTCGAAATGTCATTAAATATCTAATAATTGAATCAAAACTGTTTTTCCCCCTATTATACAAGAATGTTGGGAAGTGAAAAGTTTAATACTGAATGATAAATAATTTACTCTTTTTCCCGAAATCTGAAAAACCAGTAACATTATACATCGCACGCTTACATAAAATCGGAACTTTTTTAAGGGGCTGATATGCAAATAAGCCTGAAAAGAACGCGACGGCACAAAACGCACCGTGTCTCAGACTCTCAAGCATTCCACTTCTTCATCTCTCACGAACAAACAAAATATTGTTCAATTTATTTCCCCGCTTCCTTTCGAAGCAATCGCCAACTACTAGATCCCTCCGATTTCATCTCGATCGAAAACCTAGGGTTTTCTAAACTCTCCCCTTCTCCTCCATCTCAGATCCATGTCAGGCCCCCCCGACGACGAGGATCACAAATCCCTCCTTAGATCTACGCTTCCTTCTTCATCCGAACCCGATCTCGAGGCGCAGCCGTCGTCGTCGCCGAAGAGGAGCGGGATCGGCGATCTCTTGAGGCAACTAGATCGGGGCTTATCGGGGAGGAGATTGAACAGAAGGCAGTCGGATCGAGGGCCATCGCCGTCGCCGGTCGATGAGCGGTTGAACCAAGACGCTTTGGCCGATGGAGCGCCGCCGGAGTGGGCGTTGCTGTTGGTTGGTTGCCTTCTTGGGCTCGCCACTGGGCTTTGTGTCGCTGCGTTTAACCGTGGGGTGAGTAATTGCGCTTTGGATTTGATTTCGTATGAAATTGGCGTGTCTTAATGTAGTTTTTTTTATAACTAAGCGAAAATGTCGTTGTTTTGTGATGATACAAGTAAAGCCTATTGTATTCTGATCATTTATATGGTTCTTACCTTAGTTTGGGATCAATGTGGGACTTAACAATAGGTTTCTTATATTTTTTGATTGAAATTATTTGGGAAGAATTTGATGGATCGTGATTGGTTGTTTTATTGGACTGCTTTTGTGCATCTTATTTTTTCGGAATTCTTTTTTTTCTTCTAAAATATGAACTTACTATAATTGTTAGAACAAAATGGATGTCGCAACCTAATGTTTAGTTAGGGTCATGTCATGTGATATAATAGTTAACGAATCTATGGACTGGGGAAAATAGGAAAGAAAATTTATTGCTCGGCGTGAATCTAATTAATTTATGATAGAGCTGATTGAAAGTCTTTTCTATAAGTGTTAGAAGCATACAACAGTTGTCAGAGAGAGAGAGCGAAAGCAAGATTGAGTACTGAATTTCGAGCTACATGACTCAATTAAAAAAACATATATGAACAAAATAAGTAAGCATAATGGCGTAGGAAGAAGAAGAACAAGAGAGGATGATCTAAGGGGCTGTTTGGTTCGTTTCCTTGATATAGGGAAATGCAATTCCATGTAAAGAAATATAAGTTTTGAGTTTTCCAAACTTTTCCAATAAATAGTTTGTTTTGCTTTGGTTCGCACATAAAAAATGGTGAGAAACCAATGTATTTATTTTTCTTGTGTTTGGTTCGCATAGAAAAAAAAGGAAAACTTTTGTAAACAAAGCAGAGAAAGAAAAAATCTGACGTGGCAGAGTTTTTATCAATTTCACGGGAAGAAAATCGGAGAGGGAAAAAAATCTGACCTGGCGGCAATTTCAACAGAGTTTTCCCTCTTTCATCCGAGCGAACCAAAGCAGCACAAAGAAATGGACGGAAACAAAAAAACTGACGTGGAGGGCTAAAAATCTGACGTGGAGGGGTTTTCTGAGTTTTCCGCCCCTTATAATAGCGAACCAAACATCCCCTAAATGGAAGAAGAAGAACATGAGTGAATCATCTATTCCTCCATATTAATTCAGATCCTTTCCAATTAAGTAGTAATTGGAGAAGTCCAATTATCCAATCTTTACCATTCATTCCATTTAATGAAATGAGATTATTTTATGTAGGATTTTCATTATGGTAATAGTGATTGAATTTTTCAAGACAAAAGTGAAAATTCTACGTGGCCTAATCCCACCCCTTGAATTGGAATTGATCGTAAGGGTGGAAACTAACCAAATAATTAATAAAGAGTTCGTGTATTATTCGTACGTGTATTCGGTTATATTTGATTTGATAGTTCATTTACTAGTAAATGTAGATTTTATTATTCGGTTCATAAAAGAATAGAATCTAATCATATGTGTATTCGATTCATTGATTATTAAATATTCATTTATGTAAACTACTAAGATAAATTTACTATAATAGATTATGTACCTGTCGGCTTTGAACATTTACTTAGTGACATGTTACAATATGAAAGACATAGTGGACGAACCTTGAATTACACCTCTTTATCAGATATTAACGAATTAATATAACAGAAATATCATAATAATAGTTAACTAAAAAATCTCAACAATATCGTTCGGACTCGAGACCTCAAACTCAAGAGTCACAAGACTCAACCTAGTGTGCTACTCAAATATTCGTTAATACTTACTGAATACACCAATACTTAAATCAAAGCGAATTTGAACATCTTTTCACTATTCAAGCCAAATTCAGATTCGAATTCACCTAATTCAACCGAATTAGAATCTAAAATCTAAGATAAGTGATTTGATTCAGTTCGTTTCCACCCCTAATAGATGATAATAATTGAGGTAATGAAACCCTTTCCAATTACCACTTAATTAGAGAGGGTCTGGATCCCTTCCCTAGCGCTACATATATAGATCATGTTTTTGAAATTAACCACACAAGTCAAGCATATCTAAAAGGTACATCTTCTCTTAAGCACAATGTGCCTCCAACAAAGCTAGGAAAATTCTTTAGAAACGAGGCAATGATTTACAGGATATAGCATTTAAAAGTGACAGTGACTTCTTTCCCCGATTGAACTAAGAAAAGGAAACTCCTTTAATTATTTGGGGTGTGAGCCAAAGACTTTTTGTGTTGTGTGATCTAATCATGTGATGAATATTTTTTGCTCTTTTTTATGCCATTAAGTGAGGAGATATATGTCTATGGAGAAAGAGTGGTTTTGAGACTGGCTGATTGAAATAAATGATGACTTTTTGTTAGAAGCTATTTAACGTTTGTTAGGAAACCACATCTATGTAGCTCGGACACGGATCCGACACGGCCATCCGACACGCCGACACGAGGCAAATCCTAAAAAATACATAGGATACGTGTGTTTGACACGTGTGTCCGACACGGACACGACACGACACGGCTTCATGTTATGCGTGTCCGTGCTTCATAGAACCACATTGGTAAAAGGTTAAGCTGACCGATTATGGGGTTAATAATGTATAGTGCACAAGCTGAACATAACACTCGGCAACTCTCATTTGTGCTTTTGGGTCACATAGAAAGGTAGAATTTATGGTGTAACTAAATGTAAGAAATCCATGAGGTTTTAATCCAATAATAGTATAATACATCTCAAACATGGTCTTGAAGCAATGAAATCATCGTAGTTAACCACTTCATCAATATGTAAGTTTAAGCAGACGCGTTGTGCCAACAATTTACATGAAGCAGAATTAGGAATCATGTTAAATAAGTATATCTGTTGTTGGACAGTATTTTAGTTTGCTGATAAATCATTTTACTTTAAGTTGCTGATTAATCATATATATATTTGAAGATTCTTCTCATAATTCATTATAGGGGTTTGACATTAGGTAAAACCATTATCAGAAAATGTCTGTAGGAAGGAAATTTCTTAGTTTATGTGGATTTGATTGATGCATTCTGTGTTAATTCCTATTGATAATTTTACGTGAATGCAATTGGCAATAATTGCTAATGATTGATCACAAATTTTCTTTTATGGGAGAAAATGGCTAATTCTATCTAATTAAGTTCATCAAATTATTCTTTTTAAGGTTCAAAACAAATTTGTAGTGAAAATGAGAAGGGAAAAAAATGGGATATGAGTGAACTCAGAATTTAGAGTTTCCCCCCTTCATTTCCCCCTCAGATACTGAAGAAACGCCTGGAAAACCCCCCCCCCCCCCCAAAAAAAAAAAAAAAAAAAAAAACCCCCCAAAGAAAAAAAGAAAAAAGAAATTCATATAAAGAAGGCACAACTAGGAGAAATTAAGTATTATAGTTAGTGGAGAAATGAGGACCGGAAGTAAGCGGATACTGATATGTAGTCAATTAAAAATAAATTTATATAACTAAGATGTCGAAAGATGACCCCTAGTGAAGCTGAATGGAGGAAAAATATTCAGGCAGCTGACCCATTGTCTGGATAAAGGCTTCACTGCTGTTGTATGTATCTTTCCAACTCCTGTTGCATGTATCTTTCTGACTCCTGAGTGGAGGAAAAGTATTCATGCAGCTGACCCGTTGTCTGGATAAAGTCTTCACCGCTGTTGTATGTATCCCTGCTTTTAGCATGAACTAGTATATTTTCTAGGGCCCAAAAAATGATGCAATTAGTAGATTATTCAAGCGAACGAATAGAAATTACAAGAAATGCATTCAGTGGAGTAGGATCCTAATGCTTCTCAAGTTGTTAGGGTGATGGGATTCTTTTTAATATTTTTACTTTAATAAAAGAACTTGTGTTGCATTTGGTGTGAAGCGTGCAAACTGGAAGTTACCTACCTGGCAATTGCTTGCATGTTTCTGCTAACCTATTTGGCTTATGCTTTTGATATTTTATGTTTACATTGAAATCAGACGTTTCAGTTGAGGACACCTGTCGATTGTTGGTCTTGCTGGTTTCAATGTGAGTTGCTGAATTTTGTATATTAATAATAAATTTGTTTGATTGTTCTTATTTTTGTACTTCTTTGTAATTTTATTTTAATAAACTTTATGTGGTCCCATTGATTATTATGCACTAACATAGACGATGTCCGAATGCTGACATTTTTTGGATCTCCCTATCCATATATTAATTGTTACGATACCACTTTTCCTTTAATATCTCTTTACACTTTTTAAGGCATGGATTGATACTTTTCAGCATCCACCATTTCCTAGAACCTAGATTACGTGAGAGTTTGTAATGGTTTTTTGATAGAATTCACTCAACTACATTTCTCTGATCATCTACATCTTTGATTTGATTTAGGTTCATGTAATCCATGAATGGGCTTGGGCAGGTACCCCGAATGAGGGTGCTGCTTGGCTCCGATTACAAAGACTGGCAGACACTTGGCACAGGATACTTTTAATTCCCGTGACAGGAGGAGTGGTAGTAGGGATGATGCACGGATTAGTTGAAATCTTTGAGCAGATAAGGCAGTCAAGATCCTCACAAAGGCAAAGTATTGACTTGTTGGCAGGAATTTTCCCTACGATAAAGGCCATCCAAGCTGCTGTGACTTTAGGTACTGGTTGCTCCTTAGGTCCTGAGGGTCCAAGTGTTGACATTGGCAAATCATGTGCAATTGGTTGCTCGGAGATGATGGAGAACAATCGAGAGAGGAGGATTGCTCTCGTTGCAGCTGGTTCAGCTGCTGGAATTGCTTCAGGTATCATTTGTTTATTGTTATGTTACATGGGCTGTTAGCATAATGGTTGCGATATGGTATTGAGTAATAGTTAACTTAATATTATAAATAATTAAATATTGAAGGACAAGGCTGAATGACACGCATACAGTAGGTAACCTTAGTCTATTGCATGACGGAAATGACTAAAGAGAATTTAATGCATGTCAACTATTATGGAAAAGTACCGTGATAAATAGTCATTCTTTTAGTAAAGCAATATTTTCAAAAGAAATCATTCTCCTCGGTATTCCTTATCCTATAAAAATCACCTGTTTATTGATATTCTCCTCGGTATTCCTTATCCTATAAAAATCACCTGTTTATTGATAAGTATCTATTTACTTTTTGTTTGCCCTATGTTCAATCTGATACCCACTTGTCCTAGTTCCGCCTTTAAAGCTCGTAAACCTGGTTACATGTTATTCTGTTAAATAGATAAGTAGTGATCAAAATATTGGATAGAGGGAAGTGTATGTGTCTGTATGTTTGTCTGTGTCTAGGGTTGACTAAAGACTCTACTTTAAATCTAAAATTAATTAATGCCTTTCTCACAGTAATTTGGCTACTAGCTTTTCTTTAGAAACACACCATCCAGAATTATTTAATACTCTGTTTGTCACATCATAGAACTAGAAACTAGAAATTGTTGAAATAGTGATGAGGCAGGTGTTAACTGAATACAAGTTCTTATTCCCTACTCCATAAACATATAAGACAAAGTGTGTCTGTATGGTTTCAGTTTTATACACATACATGATTTTGTGAAAAATATATATGAGATGCTGTATATATTAAATATATGTGCCTATGCCCATGGCTTGCATAGATGCTATGTATGCATGTGGCTTGCTTGCATCTCTGTAACCAGAGCAAACAGAACACTAGCGAATCACAATATCACCATGTGCTGTTTGTGGGTTGCTCATGAAACATCAAGCCTTATAATGGCAAATACATACTGGAGTATATACCTATTATTATAGATCGTTGCTATATAGCTAACATGTTGGAAAAGAGTAATGACATGACTCCTTTTTAAGTTTCTCTTTATACTCCATGTAATCTATTATCTATGTACCTGGTTTTTCTTCACAATATGGCTAACACTGTCAACCGATGCTCATCTTACATTGTTTGTTCCATAATCTGCACTCATAAGTCAAGAGTTATCATCGTTTTTCTCCCTTTTCCTCCTGGGATGTTTGTTGTTCTTAACTAGTCTTTCACCTTTCCTTTTCCTTCTTTTTTTTAATCAAGTGCTTTCTCTTTTATCTATCACTTTGTTTCTGGTTTGGCATCATATACTTTCAAAATTATGAAGGTGTCTTTTTTTTACTCGCTTGTCGAGTGATTTTATTTTCTCTTGCAGTAAGGTAGACGGAAGTCACCCATTGATTATTAATTTTTGAAATATCTGCATTACTATTTCTGACAGTGTGAAACCTTTTAGAATGTTATCTGATGAACTATATACAGTTATTAGTTGACATCACTTTAATATTCATCAACCTTCTCACTAAAATGTTGGCTAAACATTCCTATTATCTTTATTAAAAATTAAAATAAAAAGAAAAGTATTCCAGGGAAAGCAAAATGATCCAATAATAGAATTCAACAGCATATGGATTCAATTTTGCTCTTATCACAGAATGTACCAATTTTCTTTCTTGTATAGTTGTACTAGAACCTTAGTTACTTTGAAAACTACATTTTGAACATTGAGTATTATGCAAAGTTATGTTTCAGGCTGAAAGATAGGCCTTAGATCTACTTTGAATATTTTTAGAATTTATTTTTGCCGTTTTATTTTATCAGCTAAAGCTTTAATTTTCTTCTATGTTCTCAGAGCCTAAGGTACCTTATTCAATTTGTATTTATAAAACAGCACCCTAAGATCCTTTCAGCAAGCATATTCTATTTACTTCTTTATTTCTTGACTCATTCTTTTCATAAGCTCTCATTTATTCCCAAGAAATACTAACTTAAAACTGTTGTGCTATGCTATGGATTTTCAGGGTTTAATGCTGCTGTTGCTGGGTGTTTCTTTGCCATTGAAACTGTATTGAGGCCACTTAGAGCAGAAAACTCACCTCCATTTACCACTGCTATGATAATTTTGGCATCTGTTATATCATCTACTGTCTCAAATGTTTTACTCGGTGAAAGGCCAGCTTTTATTGTGCCGACGTATGATCTAAAATCTGCTGCCGGTATTTTATCTTATTCTCCAGATTAATATTGTGAAGGTTACATTAATACATAGTTCTGTTTAACATTTTGGTACCTGTTAGGAATCTGATAAAAGTTCTCTCCTGCTATAATTCTATAAATGATTTTTTAATCAGTGCTGACTCCTTTTTAATAACAGTGTGTTCTATTATTAGGTTATGCTTTTTAGTATTTAGATGGAAAGATCCTTATAATTCCGAAGTGTGTCTTTGCCTGCCATCTGTAATGCTCTATGCATCTGTGTAGTCTGACGTTTTGGTGTTTTGAGGGAATATTATAAAAGATATGAAGTTGAAGAATTAATCCCCACATCCCACAACGTGCGCATGACTAAATGCCGAAAGCATTGGAAATGTTGTCTTTTTAGGCTGTCTTATCTTTTTTTTATATATCATCAGAGAGTACAAAATTTCAGTTTAGAAAACGGAGGTTTATATTTGGATAATCAGATTGAAAGTTGATGATCTAATAGGCGAAAAACTAGCGGATTTTGATGTCAAAATGAAATCACCCTGTTTGTTCCCTCCTGCATCCTAGTTTGTCTAACTGAAATCTGTAAATAGACCTAGAGTTTCATCTGGCTGAATGCATATGGACGCCCATAGCCCTTCCATCTGTTGATAAAACAGTTTGACTGAAAATTGATAAGCATGCTAGCAGAAAAGAATGCTTGTTGAGAGACCTTTTCTTCTTGTTGAATGCGTTATATGCATTAGTTCTGACCTGTTTCATTCCAGGATTCATCGTCTAACATCTTATTTTCCTTTCAGAATTGCCATTGTACCTCATCCTCGGTATGTTGTGCGGGGTAGTAAGTGTGGCTTTTAGTCGGTTGGTGACTTGGTTCACAAAATTCTTTGAATACATAAAGGAAAGGTTTGGTCTCCCTGGTGTTGTATGCCCCGCTTTGGGTGGTTTAGGTGCTGGCATGATTGCGCTGAAGTATCCTGGAGTGTTGTACTGGGGTTTTACCAATGTTGAAGAGATCCTGCATACAGGGAAGACTGCTTCAGCCCCTGGTATCTGGCTATTAGCTCAGCTAGCTGGGGCAAAAGTTGTAGCTACTGCTCTGTGCAAAGGTTCTGGACTTGTAGGCGGTCTTTATGCTCCAAGCTTAATGATTGGTGCTGCAGTTGGTGCTGTCTTTGGAGGTTCTGCTGCAGAATTAATAAATTCAGCAATTCCGGGAAATGCTGCTGTTGCTCAGCCACAGGCCTATGCACTTGTAAGATCTTGTTAAGCAGATGAAAATAAAATAAGTAGAAGTTTGGGGTGCATAAGATGAACGTGCTTCTTTGACATGCAGGTTGGAATGGCTGCTACCCTAGCATCAGTTTGTTCAGTTCCATTAACCTCAGTGCTACTACTGTTTGAGCTTACAAAGGACTACCGAATTTTGCTTCCGTTGATGGTAAATATTGAGCTCATCTACATTTTATCTTGGTTTTGATGTCAATATATTTCCTTAGCTTGTAAGCTTGTATCTACTATAAAATTTTATTAACTTGTGTCTTTGATTTCTTTTTGACAATCTTGCCTGAATTCTGAAAAATTCTAACCAACTTTCTGAGACTTTTTGCAGAAACATAATGTGAACTTGTTTAATCATTCATTTTCTTCTTCTACAGAGATTTTCAACAACAGCTATTAACATGACTGTTAAAATTTTCATTTCCTTTCAACCATGTGTGGAATGAGTTTTCATTAGATAAGCTATTAGTGAATATGCATGATCAAATATTTGTGAAATAATTTCTTTTCTTATTTTCTTAGAAATAATTTATTTGTCATTTTGCGGTTACTTTCCTATAAAATTTCGGTTCAAAAGTAAATATGGTTGTTAGATATTAATTAACCTATTTTGGTAAAATAGGTGGTCATGTTCTTTTATTCTCTTTCTAGATCAGGAATCTCATTACTGTTTATCGCTGCCTTATGTCCCTTGATTTCTTTTACATGTAAATGACAATTGAAAACTAGTTTCTTGTCTTTCTCTGTGTTTCTTTTAATTTTGGAATTGCGAATGCCTGTATTTCTGCTTTAGAGTATATCTTCTTGTAATTAATAACAGACTATCTTCTTTTTAATTATTTGTTCATTCTTAACCTGTGAGGTAATCCTCCTTGTTGCCTTTTTCGATGAATTTTCTGAAATCAGCTAAAACTTCATTTCTATAGAATCATCAATCATGAGTCAACCTTCAATACTTCAGAAGCATCTATTGGTCATGGTTCAGTTTTTACACATTGAATTGCGAGTATCAGAACCTTCCGTCCATTGAGTTTCCTTGAAAGCTCTTTGTCAAACTAGGTATAAGTAATTTATATGGCAAAGATTCTTTGGATCATGAATCATGAAACCAGTCAGTCATCTTGGATTTATTTACTGTTGTTGATATTGAAGTTTAGAAATACTGAACCTATCTTGAGAATGAGTGATACTTTACGTGACAGCTTGTATGTGTAACTTCAATTATCTATTTTTTTAATTTTTAATTATATATATATATATATATATTGAAATTTGAGGTTTTGCATATCTTCACACCTAACAATAGAATCCAAATGGACTGGAAAATGCTTTAAAACTGTTATTTGAGTTCTCAGATTTTCTTATATGGCTGAAAGATGACTGCAATGAACCTATTTTTCCGCTTGTAATTTTGGAGACCTTTTGTCAATAGGGTGCTGTGGGTTTAGCGATATGGGTACCTTCAGTAGTAAATGAACCCAAGGCCAATGATGCTGTTGAGACAAAGGCTGCCCGTGGTTATTCTTCACTTTCTGCTGAGGATAAAAGTGACGCAATGTGGAGACATCCAGATGGTAGAATTGACCTTGAACTCTCTGTTCTAGAAAATGATGCTCACCACTATGGATTAATTAGTGAGGAGGCACTTCTGGATGACCTAAAGGTTTAATCTTTTCTTTACTTGTAGGCTCTGATTACTTTGATTGACCGTTCATAATGTTTGGTATTAAATCATTTTCTACAGATTTAGTTGGTCCAAAATTGGTGTTTATTTTTATAACCTTTTTCATTATCAGGTGTCTCAAGCCATGTCGACAAATTTTGTTAAAGTTCCATCGACTGTGATGTTGAAAGAGGTTATGGATCTCATGCATGATAAACAGCAGAATTGTGTCCTTGTTGTTGATGCTGAAGATTTTCTGGAGGGAATTCTCACTCTAGGTGACATAAGGAGGAGAGGGTTCAATCTTGGGGATTCTGCAATCTTTGATGTACGTAGCGTCTGGAATAGACTTTTGCATGATTACATAAGTTTGCCATTTGATGTCTCTTAGTATTCACATGATACATCTTAATGTGTAGTGTGTATATTAGATCAAGACATTTTTTTCATCGCCCCTTTTAGCCTTAGCATGCTCACATTGACTTAGCTGTCATTTCACTAGCATTCCCTCAACTTCTTCATGGGCTCTCTTTTTTTGTTTTTATTTTTTATTTTATTTTATTTTATTTTATTTTATTGCATTTTATCATGGTTTCTCCACCTACCTCTTGCATACAATCTTGTACTTGGTGTGCTATGTCAATTTTTATAGAGCTATTTTATAAATTTGAAGATGCATCATTTTACAGATATGCACAACGTTAGCCTGTATTTACTCTTACACTTTTTCCCTTCCTTTTTCAAGTTTTCCAATTAAAGTTTGTGATCTGATCTGCATCCCTTGAACAATGGGCATCTGGTTGGCTGTCAACTACAATGTTAAGTATTTGATTTATGAACCAAAAGCTTATTGTGCACGTTATATCGCATACCTGATTAGCCCCTTTGTTGCCTATTTTTTCTTGTATGCTGCCCTAAGAGAATGTTAAAGGTGCATTTGATCTGCCTGGTAATGTAGTCATGTTGGTTCAAGTAACTGTTTGCTCTAGGATGATGTCCCTTGGGACCCATGAGTTGGTTTAGGCTGAGCTCTGTAATTGTTGGCTAGCCTCGTTGGTTTTATGGGGGTCTCCACAAATAATTGTTTTGTTCTCTTCTGTTTCATATGTGAGAACAATATTTTCTCTCAGGAAGATTCATAGGTCATACATGCAAGTTCAGGAAACTTTTCAAGAATTCATAAGATCTCTATTGCTGCAAGCATGAACTATTGAGTTAAAGTGTAAATCAAATCACTTGTGTAGCCATTAATATGTGGATATTCAAGAACTCGAGGATTTTGTATGTGTGAGCCACTTAATATGTCTCCCACCTTACGGTGCATAGGTTGGGAAGGTTACTGGGGTTGGTAGGACAGGATGACATGTAATGATCGTACTCTGGATTCTTTTCTAGAGTTTCTACACTGAATAACATACCCTTATGGTACTGACATAGTCAATTTGCGGGCCCATTTCAACACATTGTGGATCAGGCTATAAACATCCAGATAAAGCTCGTCAGTTGGTATGTTGAGCCCCAAAACGGAGCAATTCATAATCCAAAGATCCCAAACATGAAACACCAAAGGAGGAAGTAGGACCTTGCACATGTGGGCATTTCTTTTTTCTTATTTGTTTGTTTGTTCCTAGGCTCAATACCTTGATTCGAATTTCTCAGAGCTTTATGTGGGAGTTAGATCCTTACATCTCTGTACCATTATCTTCAACTGGAACTTAATCATTGAAAGAGCCCTCCTAACACACCTACTGCCGGAAAAGGGGAGGATGGAGCCTATGACAATTTATGCATCTTCCCTTTCTTTCTTCTATACCCTATGCATCCTTTGAAGTTTCTGAATTTTCAAAATTCAATTTTTACATTACATAAATGTTCTAACATAGAAAAGATTATGCAGGTGAATACATGTTCAATTTCATCATACTTTACCCGGGGCTTCCAGTATCGAGGTGGCAAACGTGGACTTGTAACTTGTTTTACAGACACAGATTTGACAACGGCAAAGGAGCTTATGGAGGCTAAAGGAGTAAAACAATTACCAGTTGTCAAGCGTGGTGGGCATCCTAGGAAGCGTAAACTTATAGCTCTTCTTCATTATGAATCAATTGGGCGCTATCTTCGGTCAGTGTTGGTTTTGAATCATTTTTTGCGTCATCCATTTAATTTTTATTTTCAATTTTACAGCTTTGTGTGAGAGCACATAAAAATCAACAAGAAATAAAAAGCTACACTTACCAGTTCAGTGTTCCCATTCTATGCAAAGCAGGTTAGTTCGCAATAATGAGACAGAGTTTTGCTCGTGGTCATATAGACGATGTAAAGAATAATACTTATTCTCACATATGAAATATATTATGAAAAAAGTAGAAACTACTCTATGAAGAATACATCACATTGTATGTATGGTTGGGTAATATTCAACTATAATGATGCCATTCAAGTAAATTGGAAGCCAGTCCTTTCATTTCGTTCCGTTGTATATTTTAGTTCCTTTTGTTGGGTTGCATCAATACCAAATTCACACAGCTAATTAGATTTCATTTATAAGCGAATTCCTATAATATCTGCTCAGATAATATCAGGAATGTTAAAAAGAAAAGTAGTATACAGGGAGTTGGGTCATGTTCTTAAAGGTTTACTTGATATATTACATTTTTTTCTTTTCGTGTCCACATTTATGTACTACCTTTTGAAGACACCCATCAATTCATTTTTTTTCGAGCTCCACATAACTGGAGCATCTGGATTTTTTCCCCCTATAGAATGTTGTATTGTGTCCATATCATGCCGTCACACCCATGGATTCATTCATATTCAACTTTCAACTTCTCATGAAGTAAGAAATAGTTGGTCCTTTTTCCAGTTACTCATGATGTAAAACCATTAGCGTGATGACCTTTTTTGCAGCTATTCATTATTATACTGGACCAGAAGAATCCAACCTCTTATGCCTCATGTTTAAGCCTTTTATCTGAAGCACAGGCATGTAAATTGTGTTAAATAAATGATAATTTTGTTGTCTTATAATTGTCATGTGGACATCAGCAGATTTTTTTCTCTCTCCTTGATTTGCAGGCTTGATATAAATCCTCTATTCGGCAGCATAAAATAGAGTACTTATGGCACCTCATGTAACCATTAAAAAGATCACATAAGTTGAGCTAGGTGATGTCTTAGGCTTTATCGTGTATAACATCATCTGACATTGCAAAAGATGATCCGGAAGTGATTTCTTATGTGCTTATGCTTGTTAATTAATTGGAATATGAGTACCCTTTCCACCAGCAACACACCATAAGGTGCCAACGCTGGAAGTCTGATTTAGTTGCTTTGAGACATAGTATAAGAGGAATATTTTGCAAGATAGAGAGTAATCTCATATGTGGATAGTTGTCAAGGAAAGAGGTGCTTGGTACAGTGGTCAAAGAGAGAATCGATTGAAGGAAGAACTAGGGTTTCAGCATCATTGTCAAAAATGAATCTGCTAGAGTCAACTGATATCTTGCTTATCTTTTTTTTTTTTGTATTGCATCAGCTTCCTGTTCCTATGCTCTGCAAAACCATCAGTTCTTGCCAAAGCACTACTGCCTTTATTTTATTTTTTTAAAACACTGAATGGGTAGGATGGGGCGGAATAATATATAAGCTTTTAGTTCATGCTTATAAGTTGCAATATGACAGTGCTGCAATATGACAGTGCCAGAGCATGTATCCCGTTATAACTAACTTATGAAATCAGATTCTACTTGAATTCATATATATGTTTGCATAACATTTTCTAGTATGAGCATGCGAGATGGATTGACAGGATGGTTTTAGCTGGCCTATGCTATCCTGAATGCTTCCAGTTTATGCGGTTGCTGCTTTCACTTTTTTGGTGATTTCATGACAATCAAGTAACAATGCAACGATTTAAAGCGGAAAAAAAGCAGCAAGAATCTTGTACGTAACTATGATCAGAATGTCCCTCCACTCATGCCTGTTCATCCCTGCCTCTCTCTGATGACCTACTATTACACTTTTTCGTTAGGCTAGTATATTGGTACTTGCAGCGAAAAACTATATTTATGTTAAGATCATCTTATTAGTGAGTATAAAGATGGATGGCTTCTTGTCAATCTATGAGATTGTGTTGTGACTTGATAGTTTCTAGTGTCCTCCAAATTCCTTGTGCAATTAACTTTGAAGGACATATTTCTATGTTGTTTCCAAATACCTGAACCAGTCATTATCTAAGTCAAGTCTCCATGAAATTTCCTAGCTGAGAGACTATAATAACTGGTAGTGCTTGCTATAGTTCTAAAATACTAGTTGGCGTTTTTCGAATTCTCTTAGACCAGAGGAAAGTCCAGAAGAAGGGAAAAGATGATAGATTTGCTATCATAATTGCATTCGATTTGAGTGACTAACTTTTATGATTAATCTGTAGAAATTAGAGTGATCTCTCTTTCTGTATGACACATTTATTTAATATCTACTGGAGGTTTGAGCTGACCATATGTGATGTATTTTGTCTTCGAGGAAAGAAATATTCTATTTCTGTTGTGGCTGCACTTACATCTACTATTTTGCAAACTTCAATGGTATATGTAGAAATTAGAGTGATTTCCTTTTCATGTTTTGCGTTAGTCTCACAACTATCTGAACAGACTGTGTTTCCTTTTTCCCATTTGACCATTCACTTTCACATCTAACTTCACCTCTAGATGTTCATTTATAAAGAAAAGGATTAGTAGGTGTGCTTCTCCTTTAAGTTCCGTTTCAAGCCCTGTGCATAACTGTTTTGTCAAGGCAGCATGCACACACGCATGGCTCCTCCTTCCCAGAGTCCCTTGTCATCAAAATTGCAAATGATCAATTAATGTGTTTATAGAATAATTATTATTTTCTTGCGTGACATATACAAAATTAATGACATTAATGTGACTATGCAATGTGTCTGCAGTGAGGAATTGGAGCGCAAGAAAACTATTTACCAACAGAGGAGAGAAAACTTTCCAGAAATTACTACAAATGGACACTAACAAGATGCAGCAACATGAGAATTGGTTGTGCGCTGCCTGATAAGGAGAGGCAGTTCCAAGTGGGTGTATATTTACCTTGCAGCTGCATCTCAAAATTCCGTTACAAGAGGATGCTTCCATTTAATACGGGTACAAGAAAGTAGGAAAAGATAGAATACAAACTGGAAGACTCTCCAGCATCTTCGATCTTTAAGGTATAGCCATGATGTTTTTGATGTTCTTCCTAATCATGACTGCACAGTTTTTGTATCTATTTGTGAAAGTATAGAAGACAAAGAGGGGCTAACGAGACCCCCAGCACTGTAACATGATTCGTAATCCGTATGCTCACCACCAATACAGGCTTTAAGAGAAAAATATCTAGTTATGTGGATACCTATTGTCCCAGTAACAGGGGCATGCTTCCATTTCCTGCTAACAAATTTGTAGCCTATAGGGCCTGAGGCCTCTGATTGCAGGTGTTGCTAACTTGCAACACACTGTATAGCATATTACTGTGGGTTTTTTTCTCTCTCTTTGTGGAGAGGTAAGTGAAAATGTATCGTTCCAACAACCTGTACAAATGTACCTGGGAATGCCAAGGTTTACGATTCACCAACGCGTATCTACAAGCTGAAATTAACAAAGCAGATTATATTTTCCCTCTGAAGCAAAGCAGCCCCAGATAGTAGCCACAACTTCCCCTAAAGACATACATACCCGTGAATATTACTGGAATTGCCAAACAATACCCCAGGTCTCGCTTGCAATAGTTTCACTGGAGAACACACAAGACGAATATGAGCTTCAGCTGATATAAGCGTCGCACTCATTTTTTAGATAGTTTCATTGGAGAACGCACAAGATGAATATGAGCTTCAGTTGATACAAGCGCTGCACTCATTTTTTCTCCTGCGCTAACAAGATAGCAGGCTAACAAGATAGCAGGCAGCCATATGCGAAATATGAGTGCAGCGCTTGACACAAGATGAGGGTGTAGCCCAAATCTCTTTTCGCACACTAACACTTGTCCTGCTGAGAGTAGTTTAAAAAAGAAACAGATAACGCCTCTCCTTATCAGAAAACCATATATCAGAGAGTATCAATATAGCAGACAGTCATATACAAAGGAGCAACTGAAAAATCCACACACACACACACACACATATATATATATATATATATATATATATATATATAAGAGGCAGAGCCGGTCCTGGGTTTTCTAAGGCCCAAGGCAAATTTTCTCAAGTGTGCCTCTTTGTACAAATTAAACAAATAAATTATCAATTAATTAATTTTAGTAAAATTATAAGATTTTACAAAAGACAAGGAAAAACACTTTGGGACCTCATTAAAACCTTGGTTGGGGAAAACTCAATGGGACAAAACCCCAAACGAAAGAAAAAGAGTACCCCGGATTGTAAACATTGCATTAAAAAACGAAAACTACATATTTGAGTCTACATGCTTCCTCCCAAATCTCCATAAGCATTTTTTTATTTGATCAATCTTTTTTTCATCCTCCACAATTAATTGAAGCAAAGAATCATCACATGTACCTACAAAATAAAAATAGCAATGAAATCTCAACTACAAAACATTATTTAAAATGTCTTCTTGTTGCACTTTTAGATGCAAAATCATCAATTATACTATCATATTTAATGTTTTGTTGCACTTTTAGATGCAAAATCATCAATTATACTATCATATTTAATGTTCTCTAACATATCCTTTTTAATGCATAATATCGCTAATCCATTTAGCAATTATACTATCATATTTAATGTTCTCTAACATATCCTTTTTAATGCATAATATCGCTAATCCATTTAACCTATCTTGAGTCATGGTGGTCCGCAAGTAAGATTTCAATTACATTTTAATTTAGAAAAACTTCTTTCAGCAGATGTCACAGTCACAGGTATAGTCAATAATATCCTATAAGCAACCATTACATTAGGAAACATATCCACACTCTTTACAAACTCAAGAATTTTAATGGATGTCCATGGTTTATCTGTTTCATATGCTTCTTTTGGTAACATCACTTGCAACACTTGTAATTCTGAAAATAAGTCTCTTGCATCAACATCGGAAACATCACCATGTTTTAAAGCATTTTCAAGATTCACACAAAAACTTTTCAATTCATTATCATCAAGCGAAGTCAATTTTGCAGCATCAAATAAAAACCCAAAATAGATTCAAAATAATACGATTGTTCAAACCTACTCTTTAATTGACCAAGAACAATATCCACTATAACAAGAAAATAATCAGTTCTAAATGATTCTTCAGCTGATTGTTGTTCCCGATCACTATTGGAAACCTCATCAAAATGCATTTTTCTACAAACTTGATGTTTTTTTGGAAATATAGGCTCAATTCCCATATCAAGGGAAATTTGTTTAGCATCAATCATGGCAGAAACAAACCCATTTATTCTATAGTTTTCAAAAAATAACACAAGTCCTTCTAATTGTCTTACAGCAACATCAAGACGCATGTCTTCAGATTATAACTTTTTACTAACTAAGTTAATCTTATGCAAAATGTCATGCCAAATAACCAAACTTAATATAAATTCAAAACTTAAAAGCTCTCCTGATGCTAAACTTTGAGCATCCCTACTCAATTTGGCATCTTCACTAATTTCTATTAATTTAAATAAAGCTCCTAATTTGGGAAGCTTGAGATTTTATTGCTTTGACACTTTCAATGTGACTTTCCCAACGTGTAGTTGACAATGATTTCAAAGTCAAACCATCTATGTAATCAAGTAACACATTCCATCGCTTTGTTGAATTAGAGAATACCGTATATATGCATTGACATGCTCCAAAAAAAAGATTTTGCTTTAATACATGAGTTGGTCATATTACAAACTATTAAGTTGAGACAATGAGAACCACATGACATGTAAAAATGCTCTAGGATTTATATCAAGTAATCTTTTTTGTACACCTAGATTTTTTTCCTTTCATATTAGAGCAATCTTTTTTGTACACCTAGATTTTTTTCCTTTCATATTAGAGCCATTATCATAACCTTGTCCCCTCACATCATCAATATTAAGTGTAAGGGTCATATTAGAGCCATTATCATAACCTTGTCCCCTCACATCATCAATATTAAGTGTAAGGGACTCAATTATATTTTACAATTCATTAAAAAGTCCTAATCCAGATGTATCTTCCATATTCAGAAACTCTAAAAAGTATTCTTCTATATTTATTGGAGTACTTGAAACATCTACACACCTCAATATTAAAGTCATTTGTTCTTTGTGACGGAGTACTTGAAACATCTACACACCTCAATATTAAAGTCATTTGTTCTTTGTGACTTGCATCAGGAGTACAATCAAGAATGACAGAAAAAGTTCTTTGTGACTTGCATCAGGAGTACAATCAAGAATGACAGAAAAATATTTAGTTGTTTTTATTTTTTTCAATGATTGCATGTTTAACATTTGATGCTAAATAGCTATCAACTCATTTTGAATTTTATGGCTAAGATAATGATAATGAATCTTCTAATCTTGAATGAGTCGAAAATGGTGTTGCATTACTGGATCAAACTCTGCAATCGTTTCAAGTAGGCCTAAAAAGTTACCATTACCATCTTCATAAATTTTTTCATTTGTTCCGTGAAAAGCCAAATTATGTATAACAAGATATTTCACAACAGCAATGATTCTGACAATAACATTTTTCCAGTGTAGTGTATCTTTCTTGATTAGCTCTTGTAATTCTGTATCAATTGTTTGATTTGTTTCTAATTTGATTTGCAATTCAACACAAGACCTCAAGTTAGTGAGGTGTTCAATACTGCTTTCATGTTGTCTAAGCTTCTCACCAAGATGTTTCCAATCTCTAATTCCTTCACTAGTTAACTGGCTTCTAGAATTCATTGTTTTAAACAACTTACAACAGAAACATGACACTTTATCCAACTTCTTTGAGTACACTAGCCATTTTCGATCCTTAGTTTCCTCATTTGGTAACGTACGAAGATAATAATTTAAAGAAAAATGTCTATTGTGTTTGTCCATGGGGAATTTGAGATTAGTTTCTCTTAAGGGACCTTTTTCTACAAGTAAATCTCTCAATTTTGCATCAAGATTATCCCAAACTCGTGGATCATAAATATTCAAATCAAATCTTGTTTCGGGACATTCATTTTCATGGCAAGGTTCATCAATATTTTCTTTTTCATCAAGGAAAGGTTCATCATTGTTTTCATTTTCATCTAGATCACCAATTTCTTCATTCACATCATTCTCATTTTCTACTAATTCTTCCAATAGAATTGGGTGTTCATATTCATTTGGTAAATCTTCATCTAAATTTTCAAGTGAAGCATTCGTTTGTTTAACAAAATATTTATTCAAAGATCCTCTTAAACTTTGAGCAATTTCATCAATTTTTTCTTTTTTTTTTGTCTCTTGAGATTTCTGGAAAGTTGCTTCTTAGGAAACATTTTTTAATTTTTATAATAAACACTTAACAAAGAACAAAGAACAATAAAACCTGGATTTTGAGCATATGTTCTTCCACTTGAAACTTCCAATTATAAAGATCAAGAATCCCAGTCAATGTTTCTGTTGAATTAAATAATAAATAAGAAAAAATTAAAAAGATATGTATTACAATTTACAAAATTTATACATCTAAATTCTATATGTTATCTTTAAAAAAAAGTACTTTCAAAGAAAGTCGCTTGCGTGATATGAATTGAGAAGAGGAGAGTCACTAAAAAAATTGCTTGCGTGTATGAACTGAGAAAGAAGGTCGGAGGGCTTTTCAAATTTTTGTGGCTAAGCTATTTTTTTTAAACTGTGGCCGAGAACTTTTTATCCTCCATATTTGTTGATTTAATGATTTGCTTTATATTATATTCTATAATGAAAGGAACTTCCCTTTTCAATGACAACTACCTCCTCCTTGAAAATTGAGATTTAAGTAATAAAGGCTGATTAGCTTCTCTTTCCATTTTCCAACGACAGGTACCTGCTTCTTCTATTTTAAATTTTTTTTATACACATATATACATAGGCTTAAAAAAAATATTGTGCCCCCCTCAGCTGTGGGCCCCGGGCTGTAGCCCTCGTGACCCTAGCTTAAGGTCGGCTCTGTATATGAGAAATATGAATATGCTTGGTAGTGAGGTGGCACAATCCCCTCCACTCATTCAAATGGAGGACCACATTCACATGGGTTGAGGAATGCATGGGGATATGTAACCATTTGAATGAGTGGATGAGATTATGTCACCTCACTACCAAGCACAAGTTTTTATGCTTGGTAGTGAGGTGGAATATTCTCCTCCACTCATTGAAATCGAGGCACATATGCTTGGCAGTGAGGTGACATATTCCCCACCACT